TGACAATACGACACCCTCTGTCCTTAGACCCTCACATCGTACAAGGAAAAGCTTCCAGAGAAAACCCACAGTTTAAAGGGAAAAATGGGAGAAACCTCAGGGAGAGCAACAGAGGAGGGATCCCTCTCCCAGGACGGACAGACGTGCAATAGATGCCGTGTGTAAATCGAAAAGATAATACATTTACAACATAGGTAGTCCAAAAGTCTCTAGTGCCATAATGAGGTTCAGGTAAAGCACGGTTATTGACTCAATAATATAATACATGACTTTGAGAGTAGGCAATCTAGGCATATTAACACAATTAATTAAACATACTTATCACGGCGACGGTGCTGAGATAAAAAACAAATTATATTTAAAAAAATATATATATTTAATTATTTATTTTTTTGCTAGGGGGCCCCTTAATGGCTGCGGGGCCCAAAGCGGCCACTTATGTCGCTTAATGCGTCGGGCTGGCTCTGCTGTTGAGTATGGGGCCGGGCTACATGCGTGGTCCATGAATCCTCCTCAGTGTTTGTTGAAAGCCACACAAAAGGCTTTCTGCTTTTTACATACACAATAGGCCACACATGTGACAACAAAGGCCCTTTCAGATGTGACTGAAATGGCTGTGGGGTGTTCCTGAAGTTTACCTTCTGAAATGCAAATCACAACAGCCAGCAGCTCCTGATCATCGGACAGACACGATACAGAACAATAAATGCACCATGGGTAGTTAAGCTTGTTGAGTGCTACAACTGAGAAGCCGTAACTTGAGTTCAGCCATTTCTGTTGAGCACTGCTAGCACTACAGTTTGTATCTGAGTCTGAACAATGTGGGACACATGTGGAACCAGGAACAACAAGCTACCTATAACTCCAGGTCATCAGAAATCTGCAATTTCAATGTTGCCAAAATAAAATGATGATGCAATATTGTATGAAGGAAAAAAATCAGTTTGTTCTGCTGAACAAGTTAAAAAATAGTCATGTTCCCAAAGGGTTAGAGACCAGGGGCCTCATTTATAATGCTGTGCGTAGGATTCACGTGGGAAGGTTGCTTACGTAGTAGAAATCCAAAAAATAGATACAGCAATTTTCCGACATTTTCCGATTCACCAAACATTGCGTACCGGCGAGGAAAGTGCGTACGGCACTTCCTACGCCGGTTTCCCTTTATAAATCACAATCGACTCGAAATGCGGTGCAGCTTTTGCGGGCTTCACGTCCCATTCATTCATTCATTTTGACTGACTTTATGAAGAAGATAGCAGGAAATGACGACAGAACAGCTAAAAAAGACATCTCACACCGTGTCAGATTTTGGTTAATTTGGGGAGGTCGAGATAAAATCATATTCTGAGTCTGACAGTGACTTTGAAGAAGAGGATGAGATTGAGCATCAGCTAGTTACAAAAAAAAAAGACGAGCCACAGGACCAGCGGGCAAAAAAACAAGTAGCATTTTAATTCATTAATGTGATCTAACAAATGTAAAAGGGCAAATATTAACCATATATGCTGCCGTTTATATTGCTTGTAATTGAGATGAAGTAAACATCTGTTGAGTATTATTACATGGTTTAGTTGAATACTCGATTCTGATTGGTCAATTCAGAACACGTGACACGTTGTTAATCCAGAACAGACAGACCGCTGTCAAGCACTTATTGACCGTTGTTAAGGACGCTCACATCTGCACAAACAAGTCCGTTCGATTTAACTGTATACAGTTTGGCCTAACTGACAAGACAAGAGCGACAAGACAAGAGCGGAGAAGTAACGGGCAGACACCCTCCTTTTTACGCAGCGGTCCAGACATAGACAACAGACGGCGACACATATTCAGTGTGCAGTTTCTTTGTCATTAGGGCAGGGATATCTAGATACTTCCCAAGGTTTGACATCATGAATTGTCCTTCTTTTAAAGCAAGCAGCGATGTTTTCAAATCTGTAATCAAAAAGCTCCTCAAAAGCGCTATCGAAGCAGTTCCTGCCGTTGCTACGTTAGTTCAAACGGTAACAAGGGACTATTTTTCTTAGCGGATGCATGTCAATTTAAATCAATACAACTATTTTTTAAATCAATAAAATCATTTTCTAAATCCATAAAAGCATTTCAATTAATATTGAGAGTCATGTCGTTACTTTGTTGAGAATGTGGCCATGTAATAAGCGGGAAAAAGAAAAAAAAGAACACCTTCATGCCAATCTAGATCCCTCCGCTTCGCGTCGGGCTTCTGATCAGCCAGTCAGTGTTCTTTTCCCCATAATGACGCTGCACATTATCCCTTACATATAACATAAAATAGTTTGATTGTGTTGAATTGAAGCCCAAAAAGGCAGCGGGTCCAGCGGGTCCACCAGACCCATGAACACTGGCTGAGTAACAAAAATATGAACACCATACAAGGGTTAAAGCGAATCAGGAAAATAAAATGATGATTACATTTGTTTGTACACCTTGCAGCAAGAAAGCATGGCTTTGGCCACCATTTTGAGCTCTGATAACAGCTCAGATATTAAACTTAATAATTTGCAAAGTCACTCAATTTTAAACGAAGTAGCTCCAACTCAGACATGGGTTGATGAATCAATCCAACTTAGACAAGAAGAGTACAGGGGCCAGGGATCGAACATTTCTATTACTTGAAATACTCTACCTCCTAGCAGCAGCTGCTAAGCCGGGAGTTTAACAGCATATGTAATGATATATTCTCTCTGTTTCTTATAATGGATATTAAGAGCCAATAGGCTACTTGAGTGTGTAATTACATTTTCAGCTGAGAGAATACATATAACTAAATATAAAATATGTGTGTAACAGCTGCATTTCTGAGTCTGGGGCAAAGTAATTATGATATTAAAAATAAGCCAAAATAAACCAGAACTGTTAATGTCGTTTTCTGTGTAGCAAAACTCACACACACTGTTAATGTTATGTTTCTTTATGTTTAACCTGTTTTCTTAAATTGGTTCAGAAAGGCAGGTAGTTATCAGCTGCCAAGCTTTTCATGTTCCAGTTTCTATATGCAAAATAAACAAACCAATAAAAGAAAACTTACTCAAGTACCCACTGACTTTTAATTAGAGCTTTGTGATACAATAGCAACTTTGTGACACAGGCTTTAGTGAACACATGAATTTAAGCTTCTCCTTTAACAGATTTGATAAATGTGTGTACTTCTGGAAAACGCCCCAGCAATTCTCAATAAGATGGAGCACAGTTTGGAAATCCTGTGGATATATAAGATAACTTGTTTATAATATGTCTGCATGATTACAAGTTTGCATGATAATAAGAGTTGAGGGCATTCTAGTGTCCAAATATGGTTTCTGTTATGATTTATGCTTGTAATCAGAAGTATAATTGCCAGGAAATGCATCAAAAGTATAACAGGCAATCTCGAATTTGATCAGCTCTGGAAAGGGTTGGTTATGTAACGACTTCCTGTTGGCTTTACGCTTAGCAATCCAAGACTTGGGTTGCGTTCCGATAATCCAAAAATCAGCTCCTAAATTCTAACCCTATCTCCTATTCCTTAACCTCTGAGTGAAACGTCACGATGTTAAGGGATAGTGGATAGGAGAATTCAAAAGGACTTAGGAGAAGAGACTGCGGTACTTTAGAGAATCCAAATGCACTTTCACTATCCGACGTGTTTATGATGCGCCAGCGGATGTCATGAATGTGCGTCTGCTGCTGTGGGGAAACTATGGAAACTACAGTTTTCTATACAGTGGACTACAACATGGATGTTCAATTAGAACGACGGACTCATCTAGCGACTCTGCACCGTGCTCTGATGCGGTTGCTTTATGCTTTATGAACAACAGAGAAACATATTCTTCATGACCAAAGTTGGAATTTAAATAAAAAAGTGAAACTTATGCTCATCACCCTCTCCCTCCGGTCCACATTAATACAAATGATCCCAATACGTATGACTGTATGAACTATGAAAATATCTTAAAATCAATACAAATGTATTTATTATAAACGTTAGTCCTTAACATCTATCACTGTGTATATCACCATTCAAACATCTTTTAAAAGTTGAACAAACCCCACACAGCTCAGTAAAGACTGTGAAATGTTGACTTTATTTGATAATTTCAGTAAAAACTAACGTTCATATTTCTCTTTTTGATTATAATACTGATGAACGTTCAAAACAAAGCACTTTGGCAACTTACCACATACGTTTTAAAATGCTTAATAAGCACCGTAACTTTCATGATATAATTTCTCCCATAATCGTTTGTGTCCGTGAACGGCCGACTGTTGAGTGACGGCAAATGCTGCGGCTGCAATGCATTGTGGGGCAGCATTTTCTCCTCTCCTTTCGGTTAGGGAGGTCCAGTGGTTCCTAATCTAAAGGAGGTTATAAAGGAAGTTTGAAACCTCCTTTCCTTTCATTTGGAGAATTGGAACGGCACTTATCATGGCTGCCACTGACGTACTTCCGGGTCATTTCACTCGGTTAGGAAGGTTCCTAAGCGAAATGGACCACCGGTGGTCCGTGAGCGCCCCCTAGTGGTCCGTGAGTATATCGGTAAAATGTCACATTTTAAATAAATACATTTGTTTACGTTTTCCGCACTCTCGGAGGAATATCTCCGCAATTGAGTGAGCTTAACTTTCACTTTCGATTGCATGATATAGCCCAGCACAACACCTTCATCACACATGTTGCCACTTGTTTGTACCATTTTATTTCAAGAAGCGTATAAAACAAACAATGGATGTATTTTATGAACATTTATCCATGCTGGAAGTAGATTTAGATGTTTTAGGAGTTAGATAGAGGTTATTATCTAATATATGCATCCAATGAAGCATTGCATGAAGTCTGTTGATGATCAGAGGCTGTTGTTGGGGCTGCAAATACGTTTTTTTATTTTTGTTTTGTAGGCAGACCATGCAGGCCAGCCCAATGGTCACAAAGGTTCATGTGTTAATAGCATTTTTACATAAAAGCCCACGCGAGCATAAAATGTGAAGAAAGGGCTTACCCCTTGATTCCACCGGGTCCGTCTGCGCCTCGTCAGCGTCATAACCCACCGGGCTGAAGTATTAAAATAACGTGTTATAGCAGAAAGTTTAATACAGCGTATTTCTGGTATATTCATTTTTATGTCACCTGATATATAGGATGTGTGTTAACTTGAATGGACGGAAAATGATGTCCCATTTTGAGTGGAAGTAGATTAGCGCAAATGGTCTTTTCTTCCACTTTTGTGTTTTAATCAAAAAGTGGTTTTTTGGCTATTTTGTGAGTAGGTAAGGTACAGTACAGCCTGTGATTTCTGCCTTGAGTAAAATGATTACCCGTTGATGAGTATTTTTCAGAAAGTCATTTTGGGCTTTCAGGGGCAGAACTCAGTAGGTTGTCTGTAAGAGTTTTCTGTATGATCTGGAAGCTTAAATTAATAGAAGGAGGAAATATTATGTCAATTCTTGGATCTTCTCAAAATATAACTATACTTTAATTACAGTTTCCAGATATTTGAAGAGGCCAAGAGATGATGTGAGTCACACAGTTAGAGAGACAATGATCCTTCTGATGTATCAATAGATGTATTCATGATTAAGTGAGCTGACTTTGGGGTGGAAGGAAGTTCAGAGGAGGCCTTAGGATATAAGAACAGTTAACCTTTGTTAGTTAACTAATCCTATGGATGTCATGAGACGATGTTTAAACCTATAACAAGTATAGCTTTCAGAGGAAAAACATGTGACATTTGTGTGATAGGCTGCATGATCAAATATGTGTGCGTTCATTTCAGTGGCTATATGCTGTGTAATTACTAGGGCCGGGACTTTAACGCGTTAATTAAGATTAATTAATTACACAAAAATGAACGCGTTAAAAAAATTAACGCATTTTAATCGCACTTATTTTTGCACCGCGGAACGTTTCTCACTGAATGAGTTTCAGGCGGACCGATTATACTGGAGCACCAACTAACGTTCATGACTTCAGACAACAACAAACCACAGTGAACAACAGTGGGAAATGTTGTTTTACAAAACGGACGGATGGAAGCGTCGATAAGAGCACGGTTGTGTGCAAATTATGCAAAAAGGAATTCGCATATCACCGCAGCACATCGAGCCTCAAGTATCACCTCAATGCAAAACATATAGCAGCTAGCGTGGAAGCTAGCGTGGACGTTAGCCTCTTTTATCGCGTTCACACCAAAAAGAGCCGGTACTAAAATTAGTTAATGAGAACCTTTTTACCCCCACGAAAGTCCCTGCTAGAGAGCAGAGAGCTGCTAGAGAGCAGGGACTTTCGTACGGCTCTCTTGTGAGAAAAGAGCTATATTTCTGATTGGCTGGGCGGATTGCAAACCACGCCCCGTAAAACTCCCAAAAAGTTTTGTGAAGCCGCCATTTTATTATCCTCACATTAGCATTATTAGCATTAGCCCAGCGCAGAAACGCAGAGACTAACTTATGGCAACACAAAATAAAACATGGGAGCGGTGGAGATGAGGAGGTGTCGGCGTTCTGGCGATTTACTCGGAAGGCTCCAGTAGAAGCTGCTGGGAGTCCCAGCAGCTTCTACTGAAGCCTTCCCCAACTCCGGGGACTTCCGGCCGGGGACTTTGGGCGGCAGTATACGCCGTGAAGTGGTTTGCGGCCTGCCAGTAAACCCAATGCAGAAGAAGAAGAAGTGACGTCAGCGGCTTCATTTGCCTAATCCACCCCCAGGTTCAAAGAGTTCTCATGAACTAAGTTCTCATGAACCTTTGTGGGAAAAGTACTGCGGTGTGAATGCGCCAAATGGTATATTAAAATCCATGTGAAAAAAATTGCTTCTCACTGTTCTTAGGTCAAATATTTATATGTGATTAAAAATGCGATTAATTTCGATTAATTAATTAATTACAAAGCCTCTAATTAATTAGATTAATTTTTTTAATCGAGTCCCGGCCCTAGTAATTACTGCTCAACTGTACCTGTGTTTGTGTTTTATTGATTTCTCTCTGTTTTATTCTTTCATGTTATGAGTACTAAATTGCCACAACATTTTGGAGTAGTTGGTTTAAACAGATGTGTGTGCGTTATAGGGGAATGGGTGTGCGTTCTGTCATGACTCCAAAGCATTGTTGTGGGACTGCCTGAGGGCAGAGGGACATGGACGGACACACACACACACACACTGTAAGGAGATGGGGCGAAACAGATGGAGTCAACAACTGCTGACTCATTGCCTAGGGTCCCGCCCAAAAGTAAAACTGGCCAATGGAGAACTACCAGCTCACGGTCTAGGGTTCGCCCAAAAGTGAAACCGGCCAATGGAGAACTGCCAACTCACTGGCTAGCTCGCCCAGAAGTGAAATCGCCAATAACAAATAGCTAGGGAGGAGCAACCAACACAACTCCTCCCCACTTGTGTGTATAAATATTATGATATTTTGATGCTCGTCGCCCCTTCTGACTGACCGTCTCGGTAGTGGAATTGAGCCCAGAGTACTCTGTATTTTGTGTTGTTGTTTTTTGCCATTAAAACAGATTATTGTTTAACTTTTATTCTGGTGCTTTGAGTTCCTTCTTTTTATGATTTAACCAGCTCATCAAAGGACACGCGGAGCCGAGGTGGGTTTCAGACCACTCACTGCTCCAACAGGGCGCATTTCAGAACCGTTTCAGAAGCGGAGGGTCTTGCGTGCCGGCTCGCAGTTTTTGTTGATTTGGGCATATTTCCTGGACAGGCTACTTTGTGCAGACAAAGTTAATAATAATTGTAATATTCCAGTTATAAACGACATGAATCAAAGATGTGTTGCTGTATTTTAGTGGTAAAAAAATGCATTTAACATCATAATTATTCTATATATAATTTACACAGTGCCTGTAAACCGGAAGAGAACGCTGGCATATCTCCTCCTACTTGAAAGACTACGGAGGGATAGGGTCTGCAAGATTGGTTTATTTTGGGGATTGACTGGATGCTCTGACCGGTCCACTTCTTGTCCGGCACTATGCGTCGTGTCGAAAATAGACTTGCATCCTGTCTGGGACACTTCTAGCCGTAACGCGGTGCGTCTGGTGGAATGGCACCCATTGACTAGAGTGGCCGCGGTCGCTGTGAACGCCGCAGCGCAGCCGTAACGCGGCGCAGACAGACCCGGTGGAATCTAGGGGTTAGACCTCAGAGAGTTAAACTTGGGCCTGCGACCATAGTTTTACTGTGTTTTGTTTTGAAAATCCACAGTGGAGGTTTGTGTCGTACTACATGCGGTGTATTTAGCATTTCTCTCAGTAGCCAACGATCTGTGAGTCTGTTAGCTCGGACATAAACTCTGTAATAAATGTAGTCTACATTTCATAAGAGGTGTAAAACCTGAGCATTTTAAATCTCATTTGAACGAAATACTTGTAGAATCTGTAGTTGTATTTGTATTGTTGATTTAATGTGTGAACGAGGAGTTTACAGCAGAGAAGGTTAAAGGGGACCTATCATGCAAAATGCACTCTTGTACATCTTTTATACATGACTATGTTTTCCCGGTGTTCCAGGGAACTCACCAAGTGTCAGAAAATACAACCCTCTCTTTTCCTCCATACCCAAATCTCTAAAAAAAAGGGGCTGCAACGGATCTGATACAGATTTGAATTGTTTTCTACGTCACAAAAGGGGTGCTCCGCTTAGTGGTAAATTCTCCACCTTTCAGGGGAATGAGAGGTTGGGCCACGGCAGGCCATTGGCGCTCGAAAGCGCTGGAGACGCTGTAATACATATGCCAGGCCTGTAAGTGGCGCTGTAGTCTGCCACAAAAGCAGTGAAGAAGACTTCCCTTGCATGGTTGCCCTTTTGTTTATTCTCCACTGTGGCTCTTTTTCTCCCTCCCCGAGGCAAGCGTTTGCACCTCCTGCTTTAAAACAAATGGATAATGACTCTATATAATCACATGTAAGGGATAATGTGCAGCGACGCGGTCATTATGGGGAAAAGAACACCGACAGGCTGATCAGGAGCCCGATGCGAAGCGGAGGGATCTAGATCGGCATGAAGGTGTCAGCACTCTCAGGCCCCGGCCCCACGAGGACGCAAACGCCGGTCAACATGTCCGTTAAATTAGAAAAGTGCCGGTCAGAGGTCTTCCTTGTTATTTATTGAGCTTTAAAACAAATTGATAACGACTATATAATAATATAAAAATAATAAACGGAGTCTCTCTTTCCCCCCCCCCCCCCCCTCTCCTGACAGCCCGTCAGTATCCGTCTCATGCAGCTGGCTGATCCAGTAATGAGTGACCCGACAGTAAAAATAAAACATATTTATAACTAGTTTGAGAGGTAATTAAAATATCTAAGTGTGATGATTGAAGTGTGTGTTTTGCTCTGCTCACCGCTCCATCACAGCGGGCGGAGCTGCAGGTGGTCATGCAGAGCAGCGTGTCTCCGTCAGCAGCAGCTGATCTCTGTCTCCTGTCCGATTAGATTAGGGTGAGCAGGAGAGGTGGGGAGAGGCAGGGAATGATCGTATAGGGCGTACACACGGAGCCGTTTGGCACCGAGAGCACTCCGTCCGCAGATCTACCCACCTTGGGACCCGTTATCATTTGAGGGCTCCGTTTCCGCGGTTCCGTTACGGCCTTGTGTGAACGAACCGTCCATAAGATAGAGAACTGTAGCAGATAACACCCGTTTAGTCTCAGTGTAAACAGGGTCTTAGTGTGGGGGGGTGAAGCCATGTGGCAGGGCCTCTGGGAGGGTGCTCAGGTTCAGGGTTTCCGCTAGGATTTTTTTCTTGCCGGTCAAATATCCGGAAATAATTTATTTTACCGGTCATGTTTCAATAATAACAATAACAATTGTGTAGCAGAGTTTCCGTTAGCAGGTACTTACCGGAATATGACCGGATATGCTGATGTTTAAAACTCAGTTCACGGGGCTCATTTTTATATTGCTTCAGTTTATAATCGTAACAGATTGAAAAGTTCAGATTCATTTTTCAATAAATGATTCCACAAAC